CTCTATCCCAGGAAGCCACCAGCCAAATATAAAGATTCTATACCTTTCAGTTCTTCAGAAGAAGTCGTTTGAAGTGTTTGACACATTTGACCCCTGTGACCTTGAAAGTACGTCAAAGTCATTTTCATTCTCAAACTTTGTTAAGCTCCATCCCAGGAAGCCACCGGCCAAATATGAAAATTCTATACCTTTTAGTTCTTCAGAAGAAGTCGTTTGAAGTTTTTAAGATATTTGACCCCTGTGACCTTGAAAGTAGGTCAAACTAATGTTCATTCCCAAACTTTGTTGGGCTCTATCCCAGGAAGCCACCAGCCAAATATAAAGATTCTATACCTTTTAGTTCTTCAGAAGAAGTCGTTTGAAGTTTTTAAGATATTTGACCCCTGTGACCTTGAAAGTAGGTCAAAGTCATTTTCATTCTTAAACTTTGTTAAGCTCCATCCCAGGAAGCCACCGGCCAAATATGAAAATTCTATACCTTTTAGTTCTTCAGAAGAAGTCATTTGAAGTTTTTGAGATATTTGACCCCTGTGACCTTGAAAGTAGGTCAATCTTATGTTCATTCCCAAACTTTGTTGGGCTCTATCCCAGGAAGCCACCAGCCAAATATAAAGATTCTATATCTTTCAGTTCTTCAGAAGAAGTCGTTTGAAGTGTTTGACACATTTGACCCCTGTGACCTTGAAAGTACGTCAAAGTCATTTTCATTCTCAAACTTTGTTAAGCTCCATCCCAGGAAGCCATCAGCCAAATATGAAGATTCTATACCTTTTAGTTCTTCAGAAGAAGTCGTTTGAAGTTTTTGACATATTTGACCCCTGTGACCTTTTAAGTAGGTCAAGGTAATTTTCGTTCTCAAACTTTGTAGGGCTCCTACCAACAAAGCTTTCAGCCAAATATCATGACTCTAGGCCTGTCCGTTCTTCAGAAGAAGTTGTTTAAAGTGGCAGGTGAGCTAAATATTGGACGTAGCCTTGGTGCTAGAATTTATTCCATGAAACCAATTTCAGTATTGAAGTAGATAAAAGTCAGTCACATGCCACTGTATTATAATTTCCTGCTTTATCATTATTACAGGAGATTTTGGAACAAAAAACAAAACAGGTTTACAGTAACTTTAAGTGCTGCTTGCCAGGAACATTTGCTCCAGATTAATTGTTATTTGCCTCTTTTGCCCTCAGCAATGAGATTGAATTGAAGTTCGCGAAGTAAAAGACAGTCAAACTTGTTGCTGTCAAACATGCATAAATCATATACAGCGGATGTCTCAAATGTTTCCCTCAGTCCGAATGTTTCCCTCAGTCTTCCCTCAGTCTGAATGTTTCCCTCAGTCCGAATGTTTCCCCTCTTTATATTAGTATAAGATGAGTGTATATATAAGGCCCTTTTTTTGGGCCCCGGTATATTCGGTTTTTCACCTCCTTATTTTGTTCAAAGATGTCCTATTGTATGACATGCAGAAAAACTACGGTAAAACTTTGAATGAAAGGGGGTTTCTGGGGGTACCAAAAGGGGTAGGGTAAATCACAAATATAGTTTGCTGTTTTCAAAATGAGCTTAAAAACCAAAATAAATAGTTTTTGAAAACATGTATAAATTAGACAAGCATATGTAACAGAATAAAAATGACAGAAATTCAATCGTCACTTAAAGATTGTTTATATAAAACGAAAGATTGTTAATATAAAACAAAGGATTAAGTCAGAAGGGTCTTTTCGGTCATTTTCAATTGAAAAGTTAAAAAAAAAATCAATAATTTCCTTACTAATTAATATTTTGACTTGAAATTTACAACTTCACTCATTTAAGTAGACTTACATAAATTGCATATTGACTTCATACTTTCCTTTTGTTTTATATTGAGTTATGGCTGCTGGACACATATCAAACTTGGCTATTTCAAATATCTCTCAATCTTAACTGAATTAAAAAGTACATGACACCCTTTATATGCTATAAGTATAATATATCAATTGTTAGTATTGTATATTATATATATCATATAATATTTACTCAACACCTGTGGCTGAAGTGAGTTCCAGGTCCTGATTTGTTTTTTTACTTATCAAAGTTAACTTACAAATCGAAAAATGGCATTTGACACCACAACTACTGTAAAATGATTGACTTAATATATGAAGTTTGATTTGCTGGTCATTTAAAGTCTCCTAGCCTCAAGGAAAGTTTCTGCTTTGGTTGTTAAAGTTAACCAATTTCATTGTTTTATTAAATGTTGTGCCTATTTCCAATGTTTATCCGCTGATTGTACATAAAAGGCATTTGGGGATAAGCATGTAACTTGGCATAGATATTAGTTATATGATGATATTTAATTCCTGAATGTTTCATACTTATCCCACAATGCCTTTCTACTTAAAAACACATTTTCCTGTGATTTAGAGTACAAGGACCAAAGCGCATCTCCTTGCCTAACACCAAATATTTCCTGACAATACTAGTCTATATGAATGTATGTAGATTAAACAGGCTCAGTAGAGTGTTTATAGTAGTAAGAGTGGCGTTTAACATGCTACACTGATCAAAAGTCAGATAGTTTAGTTCAAGTTAATGCTTGCAATTAACATTTAATCCTTTTGTTGATTTCATGCAGTTTATTTGTTCGTTCACTGCTAGCTGCTACTCATATTATTTCTTTATTACTTTTCTTCCATTTTTGTTACATCACATTAAACATGCCATCAGTGTATGTTGAAAAAAGAGACACATTGCCAACATTCCAAAAATATATGATGAACAACTTTTGACCTATCTGAAAGGAAAAGTGTCCTATGAGCTAATTAAACTCTAGTTACCCTGTTTTCAATGTATGTAGGAAACCCTTTTATGAGTTAAAAGATATTCCTACATGTACATCCCAGCCCGAAGATACCGTTTCCACTGAAGTAAATTACACTCATTGTGACTTGTTGCGTGTTCAAACCATAACTCTCCGTGGCAAAGCTGTATTGATTGTTGACCGTGGTTTTCGTGATGTTACTGATATGTTAGAAGACGTTGGTATAAATATCAAAATGCCTTACTGTCTCGGCAAAAAGCAGAAGCAACATAATACAGAAAAGGCAAACGAGTCTCGTCTTGTTACAAAGGTCAGATGGGTGATCTCTTTTTACAACATACACCGATGGCATGGTTAACGTAATGTAACAAAAAGGGAAGAAAAGTAATTAAGAAATAATATGAGTAGCAGCTAGCAGTGAATGTAACAAATAAACTGTATGAAATCAACAAAAGGATTAACTGTTAATTGCAAGCATTAATTTGAACGAACAACTTAGTCTCTCTTTGCGTTTTGCTGAGACAGTAATCAGAATCTGCAACTCAGTAGATCTGTTCTAGACATTTTGTACTGTTGCACTACTGTTTTTGTTTGTTGTTATTTTGCTTGTGTAAATACTAGAAGTTGTTGGATCATTTCTAATATATATCATCTCGGTACATGCAACAGAAGAGGCGACTAATGCGGGAACCCCCTGCAGCGCCGTGAATTTCCATACTGTGATTTTTTCTTCCATCAGCGGAGGTTGATATCACATTCATATAGGTTTAAGTATAGTAGATCTGTTCTCCTGGCACTAAGACCAGTGAGTCATGATATTACTACACATCTTTTGGAGGATTTTCAGGAATCAAATTTGGAAAAAAAATTGCGCACAAGATGTGGGATAAGGGCGTGAAAGAGTGTTGTTGGGCGAATACCAAGTGTTATTGGTGTTAAATAAAACGGAACCAGTGGTTGTACCCACGCAGGCCTGAACACTGATAATCTCATCCATTTGGTCACTACAAATGGTCTGTCTGCCTTGCACACTTTCTTGCAGGGCCACACTGCACTTACAGAAGCATCAGGCATCAACACTAATGTGCATACTTCCACACGGATTCCGACATCATCAGTAGCGTACGAGAATTTATGTCATCAAGCCAACAATAGCTGGTCGCTGTAAGTCAGTTATTCCTTTGAATTTAGTGTCCTTAAACTGTCGCTCGGTGAAGAATAAGTCATAGTCCAACAGGCTATGGATTCTTCCACGATGCTTGACTCAGCAAACGTGGTGGTGGGGTGGCTGTTCTGTTTAAGAAAGGCCTAAGTGTGCGACATATCTTTTCCAGCCATGATGATGCAAAGACACACTTTGAGTACATGACTTGTTCTGTCATTGCTGATGATAAACAATTAAGATTGTGTATCATTTAAAGGCCTCCTCCATCTAAACAGAATGCTTTCCAAAATACAGTGTTTTTTATGAGTGGTCTACCTTTTTAGACCACCTAGTTTGTTGTACCACAAGAGATTATTATCACGGGTGACCTAAATTTCCACTTAGACGATCTATCTAATGTTGATGCTCGCCAGTTCTCTGGTCTACTAGATTCCAGGGGTCTGATTCAGCATGTGACAGAAGCTACACACACCCATGGCCACACACTGGTTGTGGTAACAACAAGGGAAGATAACTCAGTCATTCATTGAGCAATTTCAGCGATTGATCCATGTCTAAGTGATGTAAAGGGGACCAATCTGGTGATCATCTTGTTGTCCACACAACACTGAATTGTAGTAAGCCAGATCGTGCAAGGAAAGAGGTGAGCTTCTGGAAATTCCGGGAAATTTCAATACCAGATTTCAACAATGACATTCAGTCTTCTTTCACCCTTACATCTACTGAAGGCGAGGTTGATGATCTTGTTGAAGCATACACATCTGGTATAGAAGCCCTTAAAGAGAAACACGCAACTCTGCAGACTAAGGTGATAACTGTGAGACCAAATGCCCCGTGGTATAATGAAAATCTCCGCGTGGAAAAATAGAACCATAGAAAAGCAGAGAGACAGTGGCGAAGGACTAAATTAACCGTTCACCAACAGATTTATAGGGAACAATGTCGACTTGTTGGTTCACTTCTCATTCAGTTAAAGAAGGCTTATTATTCGGAAAGAATCAAAGAATGGGGTAAGGATCATAGACAGCTTTTTAGACTCACCAAAAACCTAATGGCCAGAAAGGTGAAATTATCCTACCAAGCTGTAATTCTGAACCGAAGTGAACTCTACTGCTAAAAATGATGATTATCTCTGTCATGACTGCTGACATTAAATTTGATGGGGAACCATTGGTAAAGCTCTCACCAACAACCCATGACGATTTGCGCAATATCATCATGACCTCGCTATCAAAGTCCTGTGAGCTTGATCCACTGCCTATACAGACCTAGTAAAGCAATGCCTTGAAGCACTGCTTCCTTTGATTACCTCAATCATGAACAAATCATTGGTTGAGTCAAAGGTTTCATGGTGTTTCAAGAATGCACATGCTTGACCATTGTTGAAGAAGCCTGGAATGGACAAGGAGCAGTTGAAGAACTACCGCCTAGTATCAAATCTTTTCTGACTATGATCTTGGAGAAGGTTGTGTCCCGGCGTTTAGAGGTTCATCTCCATGCAAACAGTCTTCATGACAACCTGCAATCGGCCTACCGCATGGGACACTCTACTGAGACGGCCCTCCTACGTGTACATAATGACATAGCTTCTGTATTGGATAACAAGTGCAGAGCGTTGCTTGTCATGCTGGACTTCTGTCACCTGCATTTTACGTCATCGACCATGGCATGCTTTATAAACGTCTGGAGAACTCTTATGGAGTGACTGATACCGCACTATGCTGGATACAGTCTTATCTGAGTGAACGAAGACAGTGTGTTGCCATCGGATCAACCACCTCACATGACAAAGTACTAGATTTCGGAGTTCCTCTAGGGTCAGTGTTAGGACCATGAAAATATTGCCTGTACTCCAAACCGATCAGAGAGATTTGTCATCGCCATAGTCTTCACTATCATCTGATGACACACAAATTTACATGGTCATCAAACCACACAACAGTTGGGATACAATTTCAGAAAATCTGGAAGCTTGTCTGACAGGTATCAGTACCTGGATGAACACCAACATGCTAAAGCTTAATCAGAAAAAGACGGAACTAATTGTCTTTTCCCCAAAGTTTTAGCATACAAGGCACTGAATGGAACAGCTCCCCAGTACCTACAGGAGCTTGTTACCCTGAATCAGCCGTTACGATTACTTAGGTCGGAGTCAGAATCATTGTTGTGTGTCCCAAAATCTGGTAATGTGACCAACGGAAACCGGTGCTTTGGGAGGGTTTCGGCCACGTTGTTGAATAGCTTACCATCTGCTATTAGAAAGTCAAATACCCTGGCCAAATTCAAGATGGACATCAAAACTCACCTCTTCACGTCTGCATTTTAGGCTCTTTGCAAAGACGTCATGTAAATACCACCCTTTATTTATTCATTTACGTGCACATTGCAATGATTATCTGCTTGCTTAATGTATAAAAGTGATTATAAGCCTTTTTTTTTGTTTCACAATTATTACTAATTCTTTTATCCATATGTTGTAAAGCGAGTAATTTTACAAATTATATAGGGCGCTATATAAATGTTGTATATTATTATTTTAACAGTATGCTTGTGAAGTGAACCCATTTGCTGATAATCCAGGTAGAGTTTATAGTGTGAAAATCTCGAAAACTTGTTCCAGTTCTGATATATTCTAACAGATGCTGTTTAATAGGACTGTTTATGTATTTAGCGATAAATATGAGTACAGTAACTACATTTCTTATTGACGTTACTGACTCAATGTACGAGTGTGTACTAATGTGCATTGTTAATGATGTCACAGTTGCACTGTCAACAAGAACAATAATATATCTACCTGCATGTTATTTGTTGATGTTTAAAACTATTATCAGTATCTAACAGTATTCATTCTGACGATACTCTAACAGTTAACAGAATACATCACCAGTCATTCCAGTGTTCCTTCACTATACAACTTGGTAGTATTAATTCTAACGATACTCTAACAGTAAACGGAATACATCTCTGGTCATTCAAGTGCTCCTACACTATACAACTCGGTAGAGTCAAACCATTGGATAAGTAGAATATTTGTATTGGTCCCAAGGACTTCAACTAATTCAAGTGTTTTTGTATATATTTATGAAATATTTAGAATGATAACTCCTTTATAGATATAATATTTAGGCTCTTGTCCTTATTTTTTCACAATTTTGTCTCATATTCCTATGTAAAACCAAATCAAACTAATCGCTTCCTGGAGACTGCATTTTTGAAAAAGCTATCACTGATATTTATAATAGTGCATTTAAACTTCCTAGAGCAAATGTACTTTGGAAAACATCTGTTTTCTAAGTTAATAGAAAATCATTTACAGTTAGTGTATAAGTTTAATGCAAAAAGCTAAAATAAAAGTACCAAAAAAATACATAAATACAGTCAACAGCTCTTTAGAGTACTTCTTCTAAATTCCCGTTTTGTTATAAGACTAGTATGACTTATTTTTTCAATGATTTAACAGAAAATTTCCTGATCAAACATACAGAAAAAAACATTGATAAAAATCAGTGCAGAAAACTTTGTGACATACCAGGGGTTTGCAGTCGTTTCTTGAGGGGTTTCTTCAGTGATGACAAGTGTGGCACAGGTTTTTGTCTCTCTTTGAACTGAACCCCTCTGGTTGTTCCCTCAGAACTTATAATGGCAGGTTTCTTGTACCAGTCACGGTCTGATAGAATCAAAGGTTCTTCCCTTGTGGTTTCTTCTGGTTCTGGTTCAGGGGATACAGGTGAGCCTGCACGTACTTTATTTGCCTAAATGTCAATTTACATTATTTTCAATTGTTTGTTGACAAATTCTGTGGGTTAAAATATCAAACCAATATCTCTACTTAAACAGCCAATAAAGAAAATAACTTTAACACCAAAATATTCTAAACTGCTGAAAGTTATCTTTTCTATCCAGGTCATGATTACTGAAGTTGCAGCTGCACTATATGTCATTCAAAATAAATCAACACTTTTAAAGAAAAAATAAATATGGAAATAACATTGTGGGAAAGACGTAAATCTTCTCCGAGGGATTTTCAATAATCAAAATAATATACAGATAATTATTTTTGCAAAACTATACTACACATCAAATTAAACAAATGTGTAATAGCTGACATCATTCTAAATATGTGGTAATAAGCCTACTCATATAATATATTGTACGTGGTAATAAGCCTGCTCATATAATAATTGTATGTGGTAATAAGCCTGCTCATAAAATATATTGTACGCGGTAATAACCCCACCCATATAATAATTGTACATGGTAATAAGCCTGCTCATATAATATATTGTACGTGGTAATAAGCCTGCTCATATAATAATTGTACGTGGTAATAAGCCTGCTCATATAATATATTGTACATGGTAATAACCCTACCCATATAATATATTGTTCGTGGTAATAAGCCTGCTCATATAATATATTGTACATGGTAATAAGCCCACCGATATAATATATTGCACATGGTAATAAGCGCACCCATATAATATATTGTATGTGGTAATAAGCCTGCTCATATAAGATATTGTACATGGTAATAACCCAACCCATATAATATATTGTATATGGTAATAACCCCACCCATATAATATATTGTACATGGCAATAAGCCCACCCATATAATATATTGTACGTGGCAATAAGCCCACCCATATAATATATTGTACATGGTAAAAAGCCCACCCATATAATATATTGTACGTGGTAATAAGCCCACCCATATAATATATTGTCCATGGTAATAAGCCCACCCATATAATATATTGTACATGGTAATAAGCCTACTCATATGATATATTGTACAAGGTAATAACCCCACCCATATAATATATTGTACATGGTAATAAGCCCACCCATATAATATATTGTACGTGGTAATAAGCCCACCTAATAATATATTGTACATGGCAATAAGCCCACCCATATAATATATTGTACATGATAATAACCCTACCCATATAATATATTGTACATGGTAATAAGCCCACCCATATAATATATTGTACGTGGTAATAAGCCCACCTAATAATATATTGTACATGGCAATAAGCCCACCCATATAATATATTGTACATGATAATAACCCTTCCCATATAATATATTGTACATGGTAATAAGCCCACCCATATAATATATTGTACGTGGTAATAAGCCCACCCATATAATATATTGTACATGGCAATAAGCCCGCCCATATATTATATTGTACATGGTAATAACCCCACCCATATAGTATATTGTACGTGGTAATAACTCCACCCATATAATATATTGTACATGATAATAAGCCTGCTCATATAATATATTGTACGTGGCAATAACCCCACCCATATAATATATTGTACAGGGTAATAAGCCTGCTCATATAATATATTGTAAGTGGTAATAAGCCTGCTCATATAATATATTGTACATGGTAATAACCCCACCCACATAGTATATTGTACATGGCAATAAGCCCACCCATATAGTATATTGTATGTGGTAATAAGCCCACCCATATAGTATATTGTACATGGTAATAACACCACCCATATAATATATTGTACATGGTAATAACACCACCCATATAATAATTGTACGTGGTAATAAGCCTACCCATATACTATATTGTACATGGTAATAAGCCCACCCATATACTATATTGTACATGGTTATAGGCCCACCCATATAATATATTCAGTAGAAATTCCAACAGATGTTTTTTTAATTATCCATTCATCAGCCCTTATTCTATTTTGAGTCAGAGATCATCAATGTTAGCCCCCTGAGCTATAACTATGGGAAGAAAACATGTTAATGGTAAAGAATGTTTGATTAAGATGAAGATGAAGAATGATGCAGTGATATGTAAAACAATGTATGCTTGTTATAAGATGAAGAATGATGTAGTGATATGTAAAACAATGTATACTGGTTATAAGATGTATATAAAAATATGCAAGTTATTGAAATAAAACATTTTGAAAGAAAAGAAAAAAAGAAAAAGAAAAAAAAAAAAAAAAAAAAAAAAAAAAAAAAAAAAAAAAGAATGTTTGATTACACTGACCATTGCCATCTGGTCAAGCATGGAGTCTTTATCAACAGAGGCAGCTTGACCTTGTAGAATCACTTTAAGATCTGGCACATCCACACTGTAAATACACATCATATGATGTCAAGACATACATTCATATAAAATTACATACATGTGTAAAACAGGGACAGAAAACATTTGTGCTACATCTATATACAAGAGGCCCTAATATCATAGGTACTGGTAGCTCAATTTATTTGTCGAGATATGATGTGGAAATCAGCATGTAAACTAAGTGAAATACAATACTTGTCATGTCATCAAAGGATAAGAATTTTAAAATATTGGTAAATTTTCCCTTTGGGGCCGTGCCCTAGCCCCTGGGGATGGGGCAGGAATCCCAATTTTTACAATGTAATACCCTCATCTACCAAAGATGATTCTGACCAAGTTTGAATAATTTTCTGGTGAAAATGGACAAACAAGAGGCCCAATGGGCCTGCACCGCTCACCTGGTATTAATCTCACATTTGTAATCTTAAAAGTGGACTAAAATACAGCTACAGGCAGAATATCAGTGTTTGATTCATAAAAACCTATTAAAAGATTTAAACATGACGCCTGTGACCTTGAATGTCGAACAAGGACATTAGGTTGAAAATGGGTCAAGGACATTCATTTGAACAAACTTGGTAGTCCTTCATCCTAGCATGCTACAGGCCCAATTTCAGTACTATGGGCCTTTTGGTTATTGAGAAGAAGTCGTTTGAAGATTTTAACATATCCGACCCCTGTGACCTTGAAAGTAGCCCTTCATCCCAGCATGCTATAGGCCCAATATCAGTACCCTGGGCCTTTTGGTTATGGAGAAGAAGTTGTTTAAAGTAAAATATTGACGAAGGACGACGGACGAACGACGGACGCCACACCACGGCATAAACTCACTTGGCCCTTTGGGCCAGGTGAGCTCAATATACCCAAAAGTGTCATTTCCCTATATAAACTATAGTAAACTTTACCCCCTTCCCAAGGGGGAACGGATGTCTCGGGGGGGGGGTCCTGGAAATTGACAATTTCAATAAAGCTCCTGGTGATCTTTCTATCCATGCACTGAAATTGACTGTAGTACCTCTGAGTCTAGAGAAGAAGAGTTTTGAAATATTGGTTAATTTTCCCTTTGGGGTCCCGCCCTGGCCCCTAGGATTTGGGTAGGAATCCCAATTTTACAATTTTGTAGCCTCATCTATTAAGAATGATTCGGACCAAGATTGAAAAACTTCCATTCACTGGTTCTTGAGAAGAAGTTGAAAATGTAAAAAGTTTACGCACGACGGACGACAGACGATGACGGACGGAAAGCGATCAGAATAGCTCTGTCACTAGAGCAAAGCTCAGGTGACCAAAAAATACATGTGTACAAAAGGGACAGTAAACATCTGTGTACAACATGGAAGAAAACATCTATGCTACATCTATATACTGTATAGTGCTTATATTTCGCGGGGATTTTAATATCGCTATATTCGCGGTTTGACTAATATCCGCAAATTCTAAACACCAGCGAAATTATCGAAAATGTTAATCATGCACTTTTACAGACAAGCTTATCACAACATGTTTACTTTAATCTACAAATTACTTATAACCCAACGCCATTGTACAAGCTTTAATATCACCAGCGAACTGGGCAGGCCATGTAAAAACAACACTTACATATAAGTGACCACAACATGTTTATGTGTACACAGTAGGTGATTAATTGATTACAGTTTACTCATACAAAGGTACATACACATTTGATTCTCTTTCGAGTGAAGTCACTGGCGGATGACAACGCTCAGGATCAGTGTTTTCAAACAGTTTACCTGTATATCGAGGTTTAACCCTTAAATGATGACAATTAAAATACGTTGAAGGAAACATGGGATTCGGGTGCGCAGCGAAATTTAACCCTCGAGAATATGCACTGAATACGAAACCGCGAAATATTGACCCCGCAAATTCAAAGGGCTATACAGTATAATACATGAGTACAACATGGACAAAAAACATCTGTATACAACAGGGACAGAAAATATCTGTGTACAACATGGACAGAAAGATCTGTGTACAACAGGGACAGAAAACATCTGTGTACAACAGGGACAGGAAACTTCTGTGTACAACAGGGACAGAAAGATCCGTGTACAACATGGACAGAAAACATCTGTATACAACAGGGACAGAAAACATCTGTGAATAACCGGGACAGAAAACATCTGTGTACAACAGGGACAGAAAGATCTGTGTACAACATGGACAGAAAGATCTGTGTACAACATGGACAGAAAACATCTGTATACAACATGGACAGAAAGATCTGTGTACAACAGGGACAGAAAACATCTGTGTACAAAAGGGGCAGAAAACATCTGTGTACAACAGGGACAGAAAACATCTGTGTATAACCGGGACAGAAAACATCTGTGTACAACAGGGACAGAAAGATCTGTGTACAACAGGGACAGAGAGATCTGTGTACAACAGGGACAGAAAACATCTGTGTGTACAAAAGGGGCAGAAAACATCTGTGTACAACATGGACAGAAAGATCTGTGTATAACCGGGACAGAAAACATCTGTGTACAACAGGGACAGAAAGATCTGTGTACAACAGGGACAGAGAGATCTGTGTACAACAGGGACAGAAAACATCTGTGTGTACAACAGGGACAGAAAGATCTGTGTACAACAGGGACAGAAAACATCTGTGTACAACAGGGACAGAAAACATCTGTGTACAACAGGGACAGAAAACATCTGTGTACAACAGGGACAGAAAACATCTGTGTACAACAGGGACAGAAAACATCTGTGTACAACAGGGACAGAAAACATCTGTGTACAACAGGGACAGAAAACATCTGTGTACAACATGGACAGAAAACATCTGTGTACAACAGGGACAGAAAACATCTGTGTACAACAGGGACAGAAAACATCTGTGTACAACAGGGACAGAAAACATCTGTGTACAACAGGGACAGAAAACATCTGTGTACAACAGGGACAGAAAACATCTGTGTACAACAGGGACAGAAAACATCTGTGTACAACAGGGACAGAAAACATCTGTGTACAACAGGGACAGAAAACATCTGTGTACAACAGGGACAGAAAACATCTGTGTACAACAGGGACAGAAAGATCTGTGTACAACAGGGACAGAAAACATCTGTGTACAACAAGGACTGTATAATACAGCTGCTTTGATATAACTCCCACGGACTGTATAATACAGCTGCTTTGATAACTCCCACGGACTGTATAATACAGCTGCTTTGATAACTCCCACGGACTGTATAATACAGCTGCTTTGATAACTCCCACGGACTGTATAATACAGCTGCTTTGATAACTCCCACGGACTGTATAATACAGCTGCTTTGATAACTCCCACGGACTGTATAATACAGCTGCTTTGATAACTCCCACGGACTGTATAATACAGCTGCTTTGATAACTCCCACGGACTGTATAATACAGCTGCTTTGATAACTCCCACGGACTGTATAATACAGCTGCTTTGATAACTCCCACGGACTGTATAATACAGCTGCTTTGATAACTCCCACGGACTGTATAATACAGCTGCTTTGATAACTCCCACTGACTGTATAATACAGCTGCTTTGATATCTCCCATGGACTGTATAATACAGCTGGTTACAGAGAGTTCTGGATTATAGAGGCATTACACAATGTCTTTGTCTGAACTAACATAGAATCCAGTGTATTGTACACAGAGAATGTTCCAGTGTTTTAATTAACTTTGATTTAGAAAGACAAAGACAGTCTATACCTCGGAGACAGTCTATCCCTCGGAGACAGTCTATACCTCGGAGACGGTCTATACCTCGGGGACAGTCTATACCTCGGACACAGTCTTTACCTTGGAGATAGTCTAGACCTCGGAGACAGTCTATTCCTCGGAGATAGTCTATCCCTCGGAGGCAGTCTATACCTCCGAGACAGTCTATACCTCGGAGATAGTCTATACCTCGGAGACAGTCTATAGCTAGGAGACAGTCTATACCTCGGAGACAGTCTATACCTCGGAGACAGTCTATACCTCGGAGACGGCCCTTTTAACACAAAGACAGGAACTAGATCAATACTTATATTGTAACACTTGAACAGAACAAGGAGGGTTTTTCTTACCTTTGTCTAGCAGGTGTGACACCCACGGAGGATACATGGGGTTTCTTTAACTCTGCAACATAAATCAGTACATTATGAAATCCTATGAATTCTGAAACACGGACAGAGATAAAGTGGAAGGTATTAAGATAAAGGTTATAGTATAGGAACATTTGGTGACATATGGGATAAAGCATTAATATAATCTTTCCCCAAATTGGGGTTAAGATAGACAAATCCCCAATCAAAGGGGCAAAATTTCTAAATGTCTTACCCGAGGATATGCCGTGAGCTGGTCTTTTAAGGATCTAGTCTAGTCACCCTACGCTAAATCAGCCCAAACCTCAAACTAATTGCAACAGAATTTATTTTTTATTTTTTGGAATGGTAGTTATCAGTTTTATAACAGAAAAAAAGTCTCCTGGAATCAAACTTTGGTAAAATCATTTTTTGACCTTCTATAGGATCAAGAAAATAAGGAAAATCACATATCTGACCACTTTTGAAGTGTAATATCTACCTCTTTTACAATACTGGATATATAAGATTAACCGTATAGCAAGACCAACTGAATCATAGTACAGATTTACCAAAATGTTACAGCAGAGGTATTGCATTGAAAAATTATTGAACAATGAAAATGGCTTAAAAGCATTTTGAGCTTGACAATATTGGCTTTTGTTTTCTATTTAAATGCAGAAAATACTAATTACTTAATCTCAGTGACCTTATGAGTCTATATCTAGCTTCTTAAAACATCACATTTTATCTAATATTAATGCACGAAAAATGGTACATTCACATACAAAAAAAATATCAACCATCTAATTTGACCAAATGTGCCGATTTGGTGTTAACTTATGTCCAAAATAAACAATTTACCTATTTCTGTAACATGTAATTTGAAAAAGGACAAGCAAATTCTTACAAGCATTTTATATCCATTTGTATGTGTGCAGAACTTATTGGAAATGTTTGTTTTGGTAAGATAAGTGTACAAATGTGTCCAAGCTCTGATGGTGAAAACTTCATCTCATGCAATTTTGCCTCAACACTGAAAAAATGGCTAAGTCCATGATTCTGAACAACGAAAATCTATATTTTGTGCACCAGTTTTGTCCGATTTACAAATGATTTTGCAAGCAAAGCAATAATAAAACGAATGTTTTTGTGAGATAAATTTGAAGTTAAACATTCATACAAATTCATCATTTTATTGAAAATTAGTTATAACCCCATTCTGTTCTATTGTGTGAAAGAAAAAAATGATCTGTTAAAATAATAAGATACAAATTTAACCTTACTTCCCCTTAATCAAGAGTACCATTTTATGGTGATAATTCCTGCCAAAAGATTTAGCAATCAGATAAAACACACAAAAAATATTCACATTTCTGTTGTCTAAAATCATGGACTTAGCCATTTTTAACGGTTTAGTCAAATTTGCACGAGGTGAGGTATTCATCAACCTGACTTCATTCATTATTTGGAGATATCTTAACAGAGATGGCATTATTGCTAAGAGTAACTTGCATAGAAAGTGATTTAGAGCACTTTTCAGTATTTTGCTGAAAATATTGTTAAAATCTTACATGCATGAATTGAAATATTGTTCGATTTGGACTTTAAAACAGCTCCCAGTCAGCCCCGCAGGCCAATTTTGAACATTCATAAATTCTAATATGTGAAAGAAAAACTTCTCATTTATGAAACTTTAATACACAAATCAGTTTTCAATGCATTTCTACAATGCTAGTATCGATATTGATATTGATGAACTTAATATTCTGTCTCAGAAATGCAACAAAAGCTAATATGTTCGACATTTGAATGCTTTTAGCAATATTCATGGTGTGATCTTTTTTCAATGTGATGGTTCCTAATTTTTTTTTTGGCTAATCTGTATTGTACACTGATTGGTCTTTCAATACAGTTAATTCCTCCTATTCAGTGATTCACAAGAGGTTGATATTTACACTTCAATGTTGGTCCAGTAAGCATTTATTCTTATTTTCTTGATCCTATTTCGGGCTAAAAAAAAACATTTTCCCAATATTCGACTTTTGTAGATTTTTTTTCTGTTACACAGTATAAACCAACCTGTATGAAAAACCAGAAATAAGTTATGTTGCAATTAGTTTGAGGTTTATCATAGGGTGACTAGACTAATCTTACCCAGATATAATTTGATGAAATGCAAATGTTGATTTCATAATATCCAGCAAACCAGAGTTATCTTCTGTGATCTGCTTTTTTAGATGTGACATCATTGCATTGTTGACATGATGTTGTACTATTGTTATGACAAGGTAATCCCCCAGTCTATATCCTAAGGTAAGACAGAAATATCTCTCCCTGATGGGAAGTGTGGATATTTCTGTCTAATGGGGAGAAAACATTATCATCAATAATTACGTCAGAGTAACGCGTTTTAAAACTATACAGGAGGCCCAATGGGCCTGAATCGCTCAACTGGTATTTATTTCACAATTGTTATCTTAAAAGTGGACTAAAATACAACTACAGGCAGAATATCAGTGTTTGATTAATAAGAACCTATTAAAATATTTAAAAATGATACCCATGACCTTGAATGACGAACAAGGATATTAGGTTGAACAGAATTTATAGTCTTCCAACCCAGCATGCTTCTAGCAAAATATCATTACCCTGGACTGTTTGGTTATACAGAACAAACCATTTAAAGATTTAAACATATATTGACCACTGTGATCTTGAATATGGATGAAGGTCATTTATTTAAACAAACTTGTTAGCCCTTCATCCTAGCATGTTACTGGCCAACTATCATCACCCTAGGCCTCTTGGTTATTCAGAAGAAGTTGTTAAAAGATTTCAACTTATTTGACCCCTGTGACCTTGAATATAGGTCAAGGTCATTTATTTGAACAAACTTGGTAGCCCTTCATCCCAGCATGTTACTGGCCAAATATCATCACCCTAGGCCTCTTGGTTATTCAGAACAAGTTGTTTAAAGATTTTAATATATTTGACCCCGTGACCTTGAAAATGTATGAAGGTCATTTATTTGAACAAACTTGGTAGCCCCTTCATCCCAGCATGTTACTGGCCTTCGGGCCAGGTGAGCTAATCATCATGTCTGCTGTGAATTCATACAAAAAAAACATCATAACTAGGTGATATACTTAATTTGGTTATCAATAGATGTATTTGTAATAATAATTTTCCAGATTATTTAATAAGTGTAAGAACAGTCTATGGATCATCAGTCTGGATTAAAGATGTTCCGGTGTACCCAGTCCAACACATAGCCTGGACTAGATACATTGTATTATAAGATACTAAAGGCCGGTGTACTCAGTCTGACACATAGCCTGGACCAGATACATTGTATTATAAGATACTAAAGGCCGGTGTACTCAGTCGGACACATAGCCTGGACCAGATACATTGTGTTATAAGACACTGAAGACCAGTGTACCAAGTCTGACACATAGCCTGGAACAGATACATTGTATTATAAGACACTGAAGACAACTGTACCAAGTTCGACACATCGCCTGGACCAGATACATTGCCAACACATAGCCTGGACTAGATATATTGTATTATAAGATACTAAAGGCCGGTTTACTCAGTCGGACACATAGCCTCGACCAGATACATTGTGTTATAAGACACAGAAGACCAGTGTACCAAGTCTGACACATAGCCTGGACTAGATATATTGTATTATAAGATACTGAAGTATTATAAGATACTGAAGTATTATAAGATACTGAAGTATTATAAGATACTGAAGGCCGGTGTTCCCAGTCTGACACACAGCCTGAACCAGATACATTACATTATAAGATACTGAAGGTAGGTGTACCTGGTCCAACACATAGCTATAGCCTGGACCAGACACATTGTATTATAAGATACTAAAGGCTGTTGTACCCAGTCCGACACATAGCCTGGACCAAATACATTGTATAATAAGATACGGAAGGCCAGTGTACCCAGTCTGACAATAGCCTGGACCAGATACATGGTGTTATAAGACACTGAAGGCCAGTGTACCAAGTTCGACACATAGCCTCGACCAGATACATTGTGTTATAAGAAACTGAAGACCAGTGTACCAAGTCTGACACATAGCCTGGCCCAGATACATTGTATTATAAGAAACTGAAGGTGGATGTACCCAGTCTGACACATCTTTGATAACTCCCACTGACTGTATAATACAGCTGCTTTGATAACTCCCACTGACTGTATAATACAGCTGCTTTGATAACTCCCACGGACTGTATAATACAGCTGCTTTGATAACTCCCACTGACTGTATAATACAGCTGCTTTGATATAACTCCCACGGACTGTATAATACAGTCCGTGGGAGTTATATCAAAGCAGCTGTATTATACAGTCCGTGGGAGTTATATCAAAGCAGCTGTATTATACAGTCAGTGGGAGTTATCAAAGCAGCTGTATTATACAGTCAGTGGGAGTTATCAAAGATGTGTCAGACTGGGTACACAGGCCTTCAGTATCTTATTATATAATGTACTCAGTCTGACACATATGGATCATCAGTCTGGATTAAAGATGTTCCGGTGTCCCCAGTCCAACACATAGCCTGGACCAGATAAATTGTATTGTAAGATACTGAAGGTGGGTGTACCCACTCTGACACATAGCCTGGACTAGATATATTGTATTATAAGATACTATACATTGTATTATAAGATCCTGAAGGTGGATGTACTCAGTCTGACTCATAGCCTGGACCAGATACATGGTGTTATAAGACACTGAAGGCCAGTGTACTCAGTCTCACACATAGCCTGGACCAGAGACATTGTATTGTAAGATACTGAAGGTGGGTGTACCCAGTCTGACACGTAGCCTGGACCAAATACATTGTATAATAAGATACGGAAGGCCAGTGTACCCAGTCGGACACATAGTCTGGACCAGATACATTGTATAATAAGAAACTGTAGACTGTTGTACCCAGTCTGACTCATAGCCTGGACCAGATTCATTGTATTATAAGATACTAAAGGCCGGTATACTCAGTCGGACACATAGCCTGGACCAGTT